GGGTATAAAAGAATTTTAACATTGTTTCTTAATTTACGTAATTATGATTAAAGTGACACTTTTTCAGAAACAAATGGAGTAGAAATAGGAATATAGTCAACTATACTGCCATATAAGATCATTGAATCAAGATTGATTTGCATCAGTCAAGATCAATCTCGATTTTTTTTTTCTTTCAGAGATCGGAGTGATTGATTATGTAAAAGAAAGGTGACGGTGATGGTGTTGGTGTAAAGATTTTTAGGGATTTTTTCTACTTTCTTTTAAAAAAAATGATGGTCATATTATGGTTTTCGTACTACTTTCCTTAAACAATTTTATAAGGGCAAATTTGTCATGATTTTTCATCTATTTACTTATATTACTTTCTTAATTATCTATCCAAAAAGTAATATTGAGCTAATTAACCCATAAAAAAATTATCTGGAAACTAAAAAAATCAATGTAATAAAACTAAACTTAATTAGAAGAAAAAGAAAAGATAGATAAAAAAAGAATAATTTTCTTTTGTTTATAATTTAAGTTAAAAAATTAGAGTTTTAATATGAAGAGTTAACCTAACTAATTATATTGATAAAAAGAAAAATAAAAAGAAATAATCAAACATTTTTTTTGGTCGAAAGAAATAATCAAACATGATCTAAGGGATTTAGATTTTAAAAATATATTTATAATATTATTTAATATATAATTATTTTATTAAATAAAAAAACACATTAGTTTATCGGTTCGGTTCAATTTATTGGACCTTAAACTTTTCTTTGATTTTGGAGATGGATATGAATATCGGTTACCTCCTGAGATTTCGAAGCATGAAGTTCTTGTCGCAGTTGGGCTTGACTTGCGATGGATCTGAAGGTTCTCTTGTGGTGTGGCGGTGAGTGATCTTGAGTTGGTTGTTGCTTCGGATGTCTCTTTTCTTTGGCTAAGAAATTAAAACCAAAACCAAACTGCTTCTTCTCCGATGCATTTTGCCCGACTTTTCATAGAAACCAGCGATTAAGCACCGTGGCTTCTCTCTTCTCACTAGACAGACGCCTTCATTGAAACCCAGTAAAGTGTAGTGTATTGGATTTTCCTCCAAGGTTTCTCCGATCTCCACTTTGTAATTAGGTTTCTTTTGAGAGAATCATCTTGGGACCTTTGATTGTTTGTAGAGTCAAAGAAACCAACGGTTTCAGCAGTAGAGCTCTTGATCTCTCCTCACTAGACGCTTTCACTGAAAACCCCTTTACAATTTTGCCCTAATTTCAGGTGTTACTGCAGCGAAATTTGCATTTTGATGTTTTTCTTCTACGGTTTGGTAATGTGCACAAGCTCTTCTTTAGTGGAATAAAAAAATGTTCTTAGTTTCTGATACTCTCGAGGTCAGTTACCATTCTGTTCTCCTAGTGTTTTACTTGCTGTCCTCGTCGCTACGCAGTCAAATGTCGTCGGGACGTTCTAGTCTCCTAGTTTCAAATAGGAAACAAACCCTTGATATTTTGAAGCAAATACTGCAGCTGTGTAATGCTGAGTTGGGTTTTGTCTTCTTTCAGGTGCTTTCTCTATGCTTTGCGTCAATACCGGTGTTCAACAACCTCAAATTGTTACGTACTAAGAGCAAAATTGACCGGGGATGGCAAGCAATGTCGGTTCTCTTAAAGAACTGTCTGACATTTAGAAACTCTAGTCCTTGAGGTCTGAACACAACTCATTTCTTCAGAGCATTAACAAAGACAGAGACCATTCTTTGAAGCCCCTTATTGTCTCCTTTCTGCTTTCAGGGTCTCTTACACTTTGAGACAGATAAATGCGGGGATGCATGTGACTGCGTTTCTCGGGAGGACAGAAGCCGTTCGCTCATATGTTAAAGATCATAGGGTTTCGAGGAAGGATTAGAGAGTTAGAGATGATAGAGCATTTCTTGGAGTCTTTCCTGTGTTTGATGGAGGTGCAGATATATGGTAAAGAGGATGATCGTACTGAACTCGAAGTCCCTTTAGTTTTTGAACTTGTTATGCGGATGCTGAAACTCTACGCCAAGCTTTATACTTGTGATGTCAAGTTCCTGGCAGGTGGGTCCTTGTATAAGAAATTGATTGCAGAACGATGAGGCTTTAAGGAAGGAAAAAGTTTCTGGAGAGGGAACAAAGAAGCTGAGCTGGTGGAAGAATCTCTTAAACAGCTTATCTTACTTGATGAAGCTGTCAAAAAGAAATTGAGTGAAGTAGAAGAAAGTAAGAGATCTTTGAGCTGAACATAAATCAAAAGAAAGTAAGAGATCTTTGAGCGAACATAAATCAAAGGAGATGGAATTGAGGAGCAAGGTTGTAGAGAGCTAAAAGAGAAGAAACTTGAAGAAAGAGAGTAAGAGCTCAAATTGAAGCTACGTAAGTTAAGTAAGATTCTGTTAACTGAAATTGAAGGGAGCAATGTTCTTCTAACTTCCGTAGCTTCAGTTCGAGCTCTCGCTCCCGCTCCCTTTCTGCAAGATTCTTTTCTTTTAATTCCTATAACCCTGCTCCTCAATTCCATGTAAAGATCTCCTCATTCTTTTCCATTTTAGTCGACAACTTCATCATCAAATAAGGTAAATTGTTTCTTCCTTAGCATAAAGGTGTTTAAGAGATTCTTTCACCAGCTCAACAAAATGATACGGTTTCTGTTTTGTCGGATAATTTTTTGCCTAATCTATCTGCTTCTCTGTAATTTTTACATGCTTGGGCTAATTCAAGCAGAACTAAACTTCATTCTATCTCTTCCCATCTTTTTTGCTTCATGAGAGAGAGATGTACTAATTTCCGAGTTTACGATTGGGCCTCTTGACTTGGGCCTGGATCTGTTGCAGCATTAATTACTCAGCCCAAAGTCTAGCAATACTGGTTTACAAGAACCGGTTAAAATAGAACCAACATTCATAGTCTCGGTGAATATACTCGGGTTTTCCTCGGCAACAGGATCAGTAGTTTACCAGATGGTGTCATTAGTCACATCTTGTCTTTCCGGCCGATAAAGAGGGCTGATCATATGACTAGTAATCCAACAAATCTGTTTAAGGGGTTGAGAAATATTGTGATCATGAGTTTATTAGCTCATGAAAGTTTTGAGGTAATTGCGCTCTACTG